CGACCCAGTCTCTTGAATCATCTCTTCATGTTTTTTATTTTTTTTCATGTTGTCTATTTATAATTTGTTGTATAAAAATGTATTATTGCTATGATGATCAATAAAAATTGAATCTGTGATTCACAAAATATAATTGTAAAAGATTTAGAATCGATTCATGAATTTGAACGTCATATATTGTTACTTATTGAAGAAAATTCCTATATGTTGAACGATAAAAATAATTTTTGCGAGTTCGAAATTTGTTGAGCATGATAATTTTGTTGATAATTAAAATCATTGAATGAATTGTTTGGAAAAATATATCCTACTCTATGATTTTGCTAAGGTTTACGTAATTCAAAGTTTCCACACCATTTTGTTTTTGGCTTATTTATATACCACTCGATACAGCTTTTTGAACCGATCATGAATATATAATTTTTAATCTCCATAGCGCAAGTTTTCACCTAAAAATATCTGAAGAACTTCAAAATTTCTTTTTTCAAAAGTTGCTATTTTTTGTTTTAAACAATGTTTTTAATAGAATAACTCAGTTGTAATACATTTTGAAAGCTTCAAAATATGTTTTTTCTTATTCAGCATTAAAAACTGCATATTGTGAACTCTATTTGAAAGTTCTAGTGTAAAAGAAAAGATTTTTAGGATCAGATGGACTTGAGGGGGCTCGAAGGCCTCCGAGCCTAATTTTGTAAACCTGTCTACTTTTTTTGTTCAACAGATGTAATCATGTGTCGGAAGAATAAAATTACGTTATCATTTTTTCGAAATTCTTCTTTGTTCTTGAGATATTGACCTTTTATTGAAATTTGTCGACATAATTGGACAAGTCATTTTTCGATATTTTTTTTCCTTGCATTCAACATCAATAATATTAATATACAATGAGCAACAAACGATGAAGAGTTTGTAGCACTGCAAGAAGACTTTCATATCTTATTACCTGAGATAGGTTATGCCATCATTCATGCATTATGTGGCCAATATGAGGCAAGGGAGAGGAAAGTGTTTTACTGAGAGCTCTAGTTGACACGTTTTTGAAATCTCTGAAGACCTTCAAATTACATTATACTTTACAAAATCGGTGATTCGGTACATTAAAGAGTACAGTATACAGAAAGTGAGCGACACCTTTCGCATTAATAGATAGACGGGCGGATTGTGCGAAAGGATTTTATTGGTAGACAAGTTGACTGTTCGGTAGGATTTGAAAAAAAAACAGTTAAAAAGAGAGATATTATATCTAAAAAGGTTTTGAAACACCCCAGATTGTGAGACGTTTTATCTACGTATTAATAAAAGTGCCTAAATCAATTAAAAGAAGATCTCAATCTCGTCGGGTTTCTGCAAAACGATCATCTAATGAAAATTGTAAAAACCAAAACTCACAACATTCTTCAAGTGAAGATGGAGAATTTATTATACCGATCGAAGATTCTATTGATTTTACGAAAAAAAAATGTTATCTGGACTTGGTGAGGTTTTTAGTTTATCCAAAGAACAATGCAATCCAAGATTTTTGAGTACAATGATTGATATGACGTTAAAACATTTCGAAATCTCTTTTCATGTTGCAGATGCATTCTTATCATCAATTGGTGCCATGACGGCAAAAACATGTCATAAGTCGAATCAAACGTTTTTTAATGATTTTGATGATTTTATAAATGATGAAAGAGGTGGAAAGCATCAAGTTAGTTTCCATGATATGAATCCAGATTTAGAGATTGAAGCAAAAACCTTTATGGTTTGTGCTTGTTCAAAAAAATCCAACAGTTTTACAATACTAGATTTGGCCAAATTCATTGATACACGTTTTTTATGAAATTAATAATTTGAAAAAAACTGAAAATTCTTGAATTTGTTCACTTGCAAGCTGTCGGCTATATTTAAGACAATGAGATGCAAAATATGAAGCTAATAGTAATCGTCCTTATTTTGAGGGATATGAACGTGCCGACGTTGTCGTTCACAGGAGAGAATTCATTAAACATTTCTTGGATCGTCAACAGGAATATTATACAAAAACAAATGATGACATGCCTCAATGGTCTATATTAACTACGCCACAGCCAACAATTCTTATTTGTAGGCTGAAAAATATGAATTGATTTTTAAAATTTTGTTTACAGGATCGATTTTTTCTCTTTTTTAAGTTCACGATGAGTCAACATACCGCAGCGGAGAAATGAGTGCTAGACGTTGGATTATTGATAACAATGCGCCATTCTTCAACAAAGGAAAAGGACGAAGTGTCATGATTTCACATTATATTGTTCAGCATCCAAGTGGACCCTTCTTCCGTTTAAATGGTCAAGAATGGTCTGATGCTGTTAAGAAATACCCTGAATTGTTGGATGAAATAAATATTAATTATGAAGAATATTCAGCAACAGCATTCATTAATATTGGCGTCGATGATTACTTCGGCAATGAAATAGTTTTGGACCAGTTTGATCGGTTATTTAAGCTCTTGAAATTCAAAAAGGATTTTAAAAATCATTTAATTGATGCGACCGTAGACAATGCTCGTACTCATACAGCGAAATAATATAGCTTACATGATTTTGGAAAGATCCCAGGTACACGATGTCCAGTAATAACAATCGAATACTTGGACAACAAGAACCAAAAACGAATTCTAAATTGTTATTTTACATCTGGACCATCCAAAGGGAAGTCGAAAGATCTGTTGAATATCGCTATTGATTCATGATTGAGTGTTCCAGTTGGTTGCAAATTGGATCTGTTGAAATCTATATTAATTAAGCATATTGCTTTCAAAAATGTAAGTAAAATAAGTTGAAGGTGAGTTTTTCTTGCCTTCGCGTAAAACCCTCCCGTATGAATTTTACTTTATTGATAGATGTCAAAGTTGGAAATATTAACTTCACATTACGGTGTTAGAATTATTTTTTTGACCCAAGCCCCACTGTGAGATGAACCCGATTGAGGGTATGTGGTGTCATTTGAAACAATACGTTCGTAAACACAATGATGAAACATTTAATACAATGTTTATGTTAATAAATGATTCAAGATCTAATTTTGTTGAAAGACAAGTTCATATGAAACTTTTCAGACGATTTTGAAAGGCATTGAATGCTTATAATGAAGGAAAAGATTATAAAGAGGTGTTACAGATGTTCTTTAGTAGTTTTAGTAAAGATACAGTAATCCCACATCGAAGAATAAGTAATACTAATGTTGATGTACAACATGTATAATTTTTTTGAAAAATATTCTCCAAAAACATTCAAAGATCTTGAAAATGCACTTGTTATAGTTGTCATCGTTTGTTGCTCATTGTATATTAATATTATTAATGTTGAATGAAATGAAAAAAAATATCGAAAAATGACTTGTTCAATTATGTGGGCAAATTTCAATAAAAGATCAATATCTCAAGAAAAAAGAAGTATTTCGAAAAAAGGAGAACGTACTTTTGTTTTTCCTTAGATGGCGGTTCTAATCATATGCGACATATGATTACATCTGTTGAACAAAAAAGTAGATAGGTTTACAAAATTAGGCTCGGAGGGCTTGAACTACCCTCGAGTCCATCTAATCCTAAAAAATTTTTCTTTTACACTAGAACATTCAAATAGAGTTTACAGCATGCAGTTTTCAATACTGAATAAGAAAAAACATATTTTCAGGCTTTAAAAATGCATTAGGACTAAGTTATTCTATTAAAAACACTATTTAAAACAAAAACTAGCAGCTTTTGAAAAAACAAATTTTTTGAAGTTTTTCGGATGTTTTTAGGTGAAAACTTGCGCTATGGAGATTAAAAATTACATATTCTTGAACAGTTCAAGAGGCTCTATCGAATGGTATATAAATAAGCCAAAAACAAAATGGTGTGGAAACTTTCAATTACGTAAATCATACACTTTCATCCATTCGTTACTCCTAGTATTAGCCATTCTGTTGTGTTGATTCATGGACGAGTAAATTCTATGCAAATAAATGCATTATTTTTTCACAAAAACACAATCAATCAAGCTTCTGGCTAACAAACATAGCACAAATATGAAATTCTGTTCGTTATTCATGAATAGTCTCTGTCACTAATAGTAATGATTTTATTCAGAACTGTAGATAATTGTTGAATATCTACGTATAGATACTTCATGAAACACGTAATACTCTACTTAAATATTGCCTTGGCAAATAAGCAATAGATTCATCTAATATTGATGAGTTTCGGTACTCTTTTATCTTTTGGAAACTATTTCATTCATATATGTTATTTAATTTTGTTGAGATATTATTACTACTAAATAATTGATTATCCAAGAAGTTTCTTATACATAGAATTGTTTATATATCTGTGTGGACTGTAAAAACAAAGAACATAAATCTATTGTCCTACAATCGAAGTGCCAAAGTCTTCTATTAGGTGTCTCTTTTCTTTACAATTACTGATAATTAAAAAGATTTTCCGGATGACCACGATAGTTTGGTGGAAGCGCATTCGAAGAGTAATTCAGAATTGAAAATATTCAGAAGCTGCTATAACTACAAGTAACGCTCATCATTAAGACTCGCTTGACTCTGGAGTGAATGTTAAACTCTTTCTATATATTTTACTGCTTTACATTTCCAATCAACACTAACATCAAATGTATGTATGCAGTTAGGTGTGTATACGTTAGTTTGAGTTTGAATGTTGATATGCGTGTCAGTGTCGGTATACATGAGGATGCACGTGTCAGTGTCGGTATATATGAGGATGCACGTGTCCGTATGGTTCTTGTTTTCCTTATAAAGCTACGGGTATCACCCGTAGGTAGAATAACAAGTTAGCAATAATGCGTGTGGTCATCATTAATTCACCGTTTGTTTTGTACAAACTGATAGAAATAAATGAATCAATTGAAGTATCATGCCCATATAAACAAAGTTTCAAGAGTAAGTGTCTTCGTAGAGTCCATGATTATATTTTAAGCATGTTTGCTCGCATCTGAGTATACTTTAACAGATAAGAACTGTTATAAGTTATTTTTGTCTTAATTAATTAGTCTTTTAATTTAAGTATGATACTGATGACCAGCTCCTGTCGCATACGATGGCTTCTGGCGCTTTACCAGACTGTTTCATATGGTTTAGAATTGTTTAAGTGTTGTGTAAGTAATGTCTAGCATATATAGTTGGCATCTATTTAGCATGAGTTTCGTGAAAGAGGTGGAAAGATAAAATATACTGTCCTAGTAAACAGCTCGAAAACCGAATGCATTTGTGAACAAAAGCATCATCTTTTTTTAACTACAGTGTGTCTCTATTAAAATAGAAGAGTTGATTTTACTGTTGTTATTTAGTGGATAATCCGAGAGTTGTTGTGCCATTTTATTTTTTAGTGCAACCTATTTCATTTTTTATGCATTGAACTAGGCACTAGGTCGCGTATAGTAAAAAAAAAAACTGGTTGTTCATGTTCTTTAAACATAAGCAAAAACTGACAAAATGGCAAAAACAACTTGACTCGACTCGATGCCGTTATGAAATTACTCGAACTCCATCCAAGAAATGGTTTGACTCTCCAAGTCCTGATCTCTTATACCCAAAAGGCTGTATATTATGCGCTTTCATACCAAATGGTACTCTGTTATTAAAATTGATTAGATGAGCATGACTGTATTGATATTGTAACGCTAGTCTGCGAATAACGAATTTTTGGCGTATGCCACACAGCTTATGGTATGAAAAAGACGTAAGTACAGTCTGTTTAGAGACATCTCAGACATTGTTTTCAATAGCCTTAATACACTGTAAACGTATTATATAATGATTGTTCATACTGTTACTAAAACATCGATTGTACTTCTGCATCCGAACAAACGCTGTAACTATGGTCAGTTTACGATCTGTATTCACACTGTTTACTACAGTAAATTTGAGGTGTGGATGTGTGTGCAGTGTGGTGATTTGTTCCACCATTTCAATAATCACATTCATATTCACACGCTCATAACTACATCCATATCTATCACATTACATACATATATCACATGCCACACTTACATTCACTTCCCACATGTGATTGGCATAACTGATAGTCTGACGAAACTTTGATCGAAACTTTGATCTCGAAAATATCTGATGTCAGAAGCTAGAAATGGAGAACATCTGATTGGATGGCATACCCATAACAAAATCAGGTGATTGACTGAATAGCAAATGTGAAAAAATCTCATTACAACTAGCTACTCAATAATCCCACAATATATGTGTACAAACGACTTTACACGTATAAGCAAACAAGCAAGGAAGCAAATTCATTTTTTTATATGATCTTTCCTTCAATCGAGGAATATATTTTGTTGCTTTTTAGCTTAGATTTCTGAAAATTGGGCACTTTTCTAATACAATATACTCATTAAAGTTTTCATTTTTTTTGCAATTATCCAACAAATAAAGGACTATACTAAATGTTTATCATTTTGTTTGCTCTTCATTTTTATAGTAATCATAATTGACATGTATTTCTTATAAAATTGGCCGCATAGACGCTTCTCTCAGTTTTTAATTTTTGCTCGCGGTAGATTTCTCTGAGAATTATAGTAAGGAAAAAAATACACTAACATAATCGATCGCTACTCAAAAATAGGTATTGTAAATGGTAACATGGTGATCCACTTAATTATTGTATATATTTTTGTTTCTGATCATCATCGAGTTAGTTTTTTTAGGCTCAACGCCACTGCTGCAACAGTAGTTAGATGAACAGATAAGTTATTGTTGGTTATAGCACAGTTGATATTCTCTTCATCAATAGTAATAAATACAACCGGAGCGATTCTTTTATTTCAACTGGTTTTTAATTAAATAAGAAAAGAATGTTCAAGTTGTTACTCTATAACTCGGCATAATACTCAACTTTGATTCGGAATGTTCTATTTAGAAAGCGTGGAAGAGATAAAATTAAAACGTTTAAATTTTTTTGTTAATTCTTTATATACTCATTCTTGAGACATGAAAATACTTAATTTAATATTAGGAGCATTATCATAGTAATAGAAGAACTTTGTTTGATTGAAAATATTCATGATCTAGTTTAGTGATTGACGGATAAATGTTAGTTTAAATAATGAAAAGTTTTTTTTTTATTACTAAATACTCTCCCGTTTCTGATGGAAGATTTTATTGTTTTTATAATGATATAGCTTTCAATCTGTTTTATTGAATTTATCAATCAGACACATTGATTCTATTTAAGCCTGTTTCTTTTCGTAGATTTTATACTGAGAAGTAGTGACGAATAAATAGTCTTGTTATTGGTGGTCTGGCTGCCAGTACCGCCATTGGAATTACTTTATTATTTTAGTTCTTCGTTATTAAAGAGCTATTCTTTGAACCTTTTTTTTTCTTTAAGGTCTTTGTTTACTAAAGACATTCACAAGCTCGATGCACATCTTCCATTCAAATATTTGAAAGTATGAAAGCCAGCAACTTAGCATATTTGCATATTTTACATAAATATATTTATCTCAAATTAAATTATATTCTTCTAAATTGCTGATAACTTGTATGTATAGGTCTAACATGTGGAGTAGGAATGGGACAAAAGAAGCGAAGATAAGTAAGTTTATTGTTTTTTTAAATTTATTCGACGTCACTAGAATATCGAGTTAATACCTAAAATAGATGACATACAATTCAAGTGATTATAAGATCAGAGTTAAATAAAAGATGATATTGTACGATGCAGTCCTATCACATCGTACCTCATGTATTCTCGTAACACTTTGAACGCAATGCTCTAAGTACTAAAAACTGTTAAACCTTCACGATCTATTATTCTTATAGCCAGTCAACTGAATTGCTGTTTTATGATATTTTCGATGTCACATTGAACTTGAACTCAATGTTTTGTGGAACTCACATATATTTTCGAAGAAAACATAAAGTGTAAGTTTAAACCGAGGTTTTTACGTCTCTCTCTGACAGATCCTAGAAATCGAGAGCAAGAGAAGGAAAGCCAAAGATCATCAGCTGCGTTTTCATAGCAACGGTTAAAGCTGCATCAGTAATAGTGGTGCTTAGATCATTCTGGAACTTTCTAGAATCTTTCAAAGCATTCTACGAATCTAAGATTTCTACTATAGATTATAACCAGTTTAAATATTGCAAGTTTTTGTATTTAATGCAGCGTAAAGATCCTATTGTAGCTGTCAATTACGATGACGATGGTATTATTGATTTATCAGAGTTCTAATAAGATGGACATAGAACAGTATGAACTAATTGAGTTTTAAGTTCAGGTAAAACTCAATAGTAGGATGACAAAGTTTCTCGAGAAAAAGAAATGGTCTGCTCGAAAAGTTGTCGCTTCTTATAGCATGTATCGCAAATGTTATCATTAAGAAAAAAGAAATTATGCATTGAAAATATATCCGACAATAGAAATAAGTTTTTTTAATATCATGATGTTAAATGAATGTAATAAATTGGTAGAATAGTAATTCTAAATGCAAATATTTTCGAAATAATAAACTTCCAGAGTGCACGTATCAACTATCAAAATTGTTATAATTTTGATTTATTCATTTATTTGTCATTTATCAAAATAAATTATTTTAATCACTCCAACAACATACCATAGATTTATAATAGTCAGACTTTGTGAATATTATCCTTTAGCTTCTCTCGTTGAACTGCACTGACAACTTTGTTTTTACTTTTATTACGATTAGTATTAAATAGTGTCAAGAAATATTCATATCGTTTATTTGTGAATAACGTTAACAAAAACAAGTTTTATTTATTTTTTCAAATCTGGTTTATCATAAAGAAAAGATATTTTTTGATCAAAACGTTTTGCGTATGGCACTTCACGAAGCCATCTATTATAAAATTTTTGAAAACGATCATATGATGAACTTAGTAAACGATATTGATCAGTATCTAGATTGGCATGTTCCTAGGAAAAGAAAAACAATGAATACAATAGGAACAAAATTTTAGATATGATACATACCATTGCAAGAATTTTTGAACGTATATCTAATAAAAATTTCTCTATTCGTTCAAGAAATCCTTTGTTAACAGCTAAATTATATGTTCTATATGATTCACAAATAAATGAAAGTAATGGAAAGTTGGTACGATGAAAAGCATTGTTAAGCATTGCTTCAAGAACTTTTTGATTAGGCTTCAAATTGAGATCCTACACATATTCATATTTATTTAAAAAATAAATAAAACTTAATTATGTTGAAGAAAATTTACTGTCATTTCATTTAACAACTGTTCTGCATCATGTTTGTTCTCGCATACCTTAGCCAAAGCTGAAAATGTATATTCATCAGGTGATAAACATTCTTCACACATAAAATCAAGTACTTGCTAAAAGATATATTTTTTTGCTATAGATCCTCAAAAAGCTAAATTTGAAAAAAAGTATAGTTACCAATGCTTCTTGTTTTGCTCGTCGTCGTAATCGTCGAAGAATGAGTGCATTATAAAATTGTATATTAGGTTTAACTTGACAGATATTGAAAACATGAATAAGTGCTTGTTCATGTTCAGTCAATGGTGGAATAAGCTAAATATTGAAAATAAATATGATTGATAATATTTCAATAAAATAAATTAATTTACATTAAGAAATGTGTTAAAAATGATATTATTAGGTAAGACATCACATTCTTGCATATGTTTTAAAATACCTGGAATACCACCTAATAACATGAGTCTTTCCGATGGTGAACGAGGCACTCGAAGACCAACAAGATTCGGCTCGTTATAGACCATATTTGGTTTGAGTATACTTGCATTGCTAAATGGACTTAAATGATTTTTTAATAAATGTCCCTTTCGAATATCATCGGGATCTTGCCACCATTCAGATGTTAATTCTGATGATGTTGCACTATCTTGATGTTCAATTGTCTCAGAAGAAGAAGAAGAAGAAATTAAGTGCCGTTGATTTTCGTCATGTGTATCAATTAAATCATTTGATTTAGAAATCATATTTGGAGATTTGTCATCAGATATATCTATTGATGAGAGAAATGAAGGTCCTCGATATATTTTTTCTTCATTATCTTTAATTTCGGCATCATCGAGAAGAAATTGTTGAGATTGAAGTGGAAAAAGTAAATCATGCATCGATTTTAATGAACCTAATCCACAGTTATATGTAATATTAAGTAAAAGACCAAAATGAAATGGATTTGGTTTAATACCAAACGCAAGCATTCGACGCCAAATCTACATAAAAAATTATCTTATAATTTTCTTACAATATAATTCTTATTTACTTCTATAGCATATTTAAAACCAGTATTTTTTTCTGAATTACATGCAATTAATAATGATACATAAGTATCTTCATTTGGTATAAAACCAACTTCAACCATTTCATCAGCTAATTGAAATGCCATTTTAACTTGACCATGTTTACCAAATGCAGCAATCAAAGCATTAAATGTTCGGTATTCAATACGAAATCCTATAATATTAAAAAAAAACTAGTTAACATCTGAGTCAAACTTTATTTTTCATGTGCTTGACATGCATAGACCTCAAACTGTGTCTATATCACATGACTTTCTTTTCATAGACGACAAACGCTTAAGTGCTTGTATAAATTATGCGTAAATTTTAAGCAACTCGTGTGCAGCATTGATGAAAATCGTATTTGAAACTAACCATTGAAATAGAATAATCAGAGTGTTTCTGCTCAAAATGACATCATGTTCCTTAAAGATGGAACTGATATCGGTTACCGGTTAGCCCAGTCTGGTACCGGTATATATAATATACTGAATTCATTGTTTATCATTATGGTTTGACCTTCACTATGAAATTTAGTACCAAATTAAGAAATACCGTTAGTGAAAAAGCTAATTCAGAATTAATTCAGCTTCGAGAGATGATTTAACTTTAATCTACCCATCCTGTAGTATTTCAATATAATTAATGATAGATACCATAATGATCCCCCCAAGGACGACAGATAATTATGAAAGATGTTGACAGCATCCTTGTTCCTCTTTTCAGAAACTTACCAGATCTTCAAAGACTCATTTCATGTAGCAGATTTAGGAGCTTTCTTCTACAAAAAAAGAAACATCCAACAATACTCTCGTGTTGCTTGAAGTAGACTGTATCTATGTATATGAACTATAGCACAGAGACTGAGGTCGATTTTAATTGATAGATTAACATATGACGTGAAGATGGTTATGAAACTAATTATAAAATAATACAATATTTTTCTATAGTGAGTATCAGACCTATTTCTCTCTTGATCAATAATTAGTGACAATTATTTCCAAAATAATAATTAGTGTTTATCTTTCTATTAGTGTTTGCTTATGCGCTTTCAATGTTAAATAGTTGACAGCTGTTGACATTGACATCGAGGAAACGACTAAAACACCTGAAAAAAATCTCTTCAATATACTCAAGTTCTTCATGTATACGACAAAAAAGTTTGAAATGGACAGCTATTAATCATAGTAAATACATACATGCCTTTATCTTTCATTTCATCAACAAATTGTGTAGCACGATCAATAGCCATTTTACTATCTGATGCACGATAACAAGCAGTAGCTAATAATGTAAAAATTTTCGTCATCTTTCGAGAATCTACTGTTGCATATCCACGATCTTTCATCTAGATCAAAACAAAAATGCATGTTTATTCATATTAAATAAAATGAGAAAAAAAATTACTTCTCGATAAAGATCAAATGCTTGTGTTAAATAACCATTTCGCGCACAAATACCAATTACAACTTGATAACAAAATAGATTTGGAGCAACTCGTTCTTTATCCATCATTTCTTTATAAAAATAATCAAGTGTTTCTTGAACCTAAACAAATCGAATGTAAATAAGAGAAAAGAATTTTTTGTTCTAAAAACAAGTGAACAATTTAAAATTTTCACCTTATTTTGTGATGCTAACTGTTTTAATTTGCCTGCATAATACCATACTGGATATTTGCGTCCATCAACAGCTAAAGATATTGGTTCATCGGGTTCTTTTTCTTGTTCATCTTCATCTAGATCTGTATCAAAATTAATTTGAAAAGTATTTTCATGCATGATACCATCAGGTGTAACATATTTATCTCTAAAGAATTTCAATTGATTAATCTATGAATTATCAATAACTGAAAAACATTTTTTATTTTACCGAATGATTTTATTATCTGAATCTTGTTGTTTGATTTTTTCAGGTGTTGTTTGAGTTTCTTTAATAAATGATGATAATGGTGTTTTGGGAATAATTTTTCGTTGTTCAAGTTCTTTTAACCATTGCTTTTGTTTACGTGGATTTTTTTCCTTAAATCGGGATGATTTTGAATCAGCAAATATGTAATCTTTAGATGATAGGACTTTCTTTGATCGATCATCATCATCATCTTCTTCTTCTTCATCATTAATATTTGGTAAATTTCGTATAGGAATTTTATTTGTTGAATTCAATCGAATAACGATTGAAGATGGTAATAATCGAGCTGTATGCAATATTCGATACATAATTATAATAGAGAATTAGTGTTTTAATTTCAATTCAATATTCTACGTCGGTTGATGTCTGATTATTAATTATATTCTCTTCAAATTAGATTGGATAGATATAAACAAATCAAAATCGTGATATGATTGGAGGAGACCAATAGAGCCTTTGAATGAAATATTTTTTTCTGTCGGTCAAGCTCAAGCTCAGTCAGTTCTCTTATAATTTATGAACGCATGTGCATGAGTCATCAAATCAATGTCAGATACACTATGATGGGCGACATCTGGTTTGAGTGAAACCATCGAAAAAAGAATCATGGCTAAAATGCATTAAATCAGAAAGCATATTTACCTATTTTTCATTTTCGCGAAAACTGAATTATCACACAGGCGATGGCGCTACACTACAGTCACAATATGACAATATAGTTCAAGTAATTTTGCTCGAAAACATAAATACAAATGAAAGATGTCGTTAAATCAATTTTCTTGTTTTAAAATAATTCTCGGATTTTAGTTCATCAAAACAATTTAAAATGATAAATAATCTCTATTAGTAAAGTACTTAATTTTCTACAAATATTAATTTGTAAATATGAGTTTGATCTTAAGTGCATTAGTGGATCTCAAAATCGACATTGATTGGCATTTTACTCATTGCTTAATATCATCAGATCACGTACTATAATTAAGAGAAGTTTTTCTATTGTTTTTTTCTTGTCAGGTGAAATGCCGTTTAATAAACGGACTGTTGAACCAATATATTTAAGTCAGGTAAAAATATCCAATGATATATCCAATGAACTAGAATGTGTTGCAAATCATACTCTTGCCAATGTTATACGACAATTAAGTTCATTAAGTGTTCATGCACAAGATCTTTTTGATGAATTAATAACTGATGTTGGACATATATTTCAACGTACAGAAGCATTACATGGACGAATTGAAAGACTTAAACTTAAAGTAACACAATTAGATTCAAATATTGAAGAAGGTTTATTATTTTCTTATTAACAAAAGAAATAAATAAAATAAATATCTTCTCATTATTTTAGTTACTATTCAAGATGTA